ATTACTCCAAGAGTGACCAGCTGGAGAACCAAACGAGCCGGCAAGCATTCTAGGGGGTCCACTTGGCTGACGCTGCTCATGACATACACGGCGCTTATCTGCAGCAGCAACAGCGGCAGGAGTAAATGAGCGGAAAACAGCAATGGAAAATAGCAGCAACAATTTATTCCACTCTGTAGAGTGAAGAGGGGCAGCAAAAGCAAAGAACGAACTTCAAAACAAGGCAAAAAGGACGGCCAAGCACAGAGAATCGCAGCGACGGCAGCCCAAGGTGTGCGTACGTACACCTTGGGCTGCCGTCGCTGCTCATGCTGCCTGGCTGTTGTTTGGCCGTACGTACGGCCAAGCAAGAGCCAGGCAGCATGAATTAAGGGGTGGAGGGAGCAACTGAATGAAGACGACGCGTTACTTATCAACTCAAAGCAGCAAAGTGGTATCAGGAAAAGCAGCAGCAACAGCAGCGGCAGCAGGAGGAGCAGCACGACGAACATCACAGTCAGTTTGCTGTGTTTTTTTGCCTTACCAACACAGCCATGGTGATGCTTTCACTGCTGCTGAGTGTTTCTCTGGTGATAAGGTAGCCCTTGCTGATAAGCAAGATGCATGCGACGAAAAGGGTTTGAAAAAGCGTCTCGGAAGCCATAACCGCCATGATGATGTATTGGGAGCCCGGGGCATTCCAGGAGGGGCACTGCAGTGCGTACACGACATGTGCAGCAGCAGCTGTGGCCTTCAGAGCCGGCGGCAGCAGCAGCAGCCTGTGCAGCGCAGTCACGTCGCGGCCCCTTTCCTCCCCACACTGTTGCTGCGACAGCCAAGCCAGCAAGCACCAAAATGGCAGAGTCAGCAGCGATGCCAGCAGCACCGGCTGCTGCGCCCCACAGTCCGCGCCTTTCGAGGGCAACCGATCCACCAGCACATACAGCGGATCCGCCCCTGCTGCAGCAGCTGCTGCTGCATGCTGCTTCACCTGCTGCAGCAGCGGGGAGTCTGGCAGGGAGGCGACGGGCATAAGGGGCTTGGGAGCGAACACGTTGCCCAGCAAAGGCACCGAGTAGTCCTTAAACAGAGTGTCAGTGAGCAGCAGCGCAGCAACGCCAGAGCCGTTTGCTGCCTTGATTAGCAGCAGCAGGTCTTCCTCCTTGCACTGATCAAGCAGCCACACCCTCTTGTGGATGCTCTCTGGCCGCCGCTCCCGTCCCCGTAAAAAGAAGCCTCTAGCCTCCATTGCCCGCATGGCGCTCTCTTCTTTCTGTCTTGCTGCTGCGCTTTCGGCGTCTGCTGCAGTGGCTCCCTCTTCTGCGGTTGCTGCAGTAGCAGCTTCTGCCTTGCGCTGCTGCTGCTGCTGCTCCAGCTGCTGCTGCGACGGCTCATGGTCCGACTCCACTGAAAAGTCTGAAATGGGCAGTGAGGTAATGGAGGTTTTGCTTGTAGTGGCGCCGCCGAGAGGGCCACTTGGGGGCCCCTCGGGGGGCGCCGCGGGACCCTTCCCCTCTACCCACAAGAAAGAGCTGAAGGGAAGCATTAGCCTTAATGACTCCCTGCGAGCAGCTCCCGTGCGTTCCATTGCCCAGCGCCAGCTGTCGCCCTTTGTAGCTGGCGCAGATGCCTCTGTGCCTGCTGCTGCTGCTGCTGCTGCAGAAACAGCAGCAAGCGGATCCGCCCCTGCAGCCAGCGCTTGCGCGCGCAGCGCTGAAGCTTCGTCTGCAACAGCACCAGGGACAGATTGGAAGTCAGCAAGAGCAGCAGAAAACGGCCCGCCGTGGTGCCCCTGTCTTGGCCTGCTCCTAAAGGGCAGCAGCCGCGTGGCCAGCCAGTCAAGGGCACTCAGCAGCGACAGGCGCAGAATTTTGGGGCGGAAGTCCAGAGAGGAGGCCGACAGCAGCGTGGGGTCGGAGGCTCCACAGTTGCTGCCTTTATATATCAGTTGCCCCACCACCTCTTCTACGGGGGGCCCCCAGGGGGCGAACTCAGCGTCCACAGACGCAGAAACGCCAAGCAGGGGTCCCCCATGGGGAGACACAAACACCACACGGCAGCAGGCGGGGGAACTCAACAGAACAACAGCCATAAGCAATATTTGTGGCAGAAGCAGCGCCAGCTTTCGAGTGGGGACGCCCATGTGGCGCATCAGAAGGCCATGAAGGGTCCAGGACTCCTTCTTGGTGCCCAGGCAGAGCCCCCCAGGAGTCCTTACAAGGGGCACCGAGAGAAGGAGGGAAGGTTCATTTTGCTTGGAGACAGAACCATTAATTTCCATTGCAGCTGCAGAAGAAAACTAGCGCGAGGGGGGTCCCCATGGGCTAAGCTGGTGCGCCAACACGGAGCAGCAGCAGCAGCAGCAACAGCTTCAGTTCCCAAAGAAGCAAAAAAAGCAACACCACTAAGTGCGCCAGCAGCGGCAGCAGCTGCGGCTGAAAAAATGTAGGAGCTACTGTCGACGTTGCGTCTGTGCGGCGGGGACAGGATGTGCAGTAGCAGCTAGCTGGAAAAACAAATACGTTATGACCAGAACACAAGTTATGTATCTATTCTTATTTGCAGAAAATAAGGGAAAAAGAGGAAGAAGAGGGAAAGCAGCTGCCGCGGTTGCTCCTGGCGAGGTATTCGCCTCCTTTGTAATCCGACGTACGTATATGAGACACAAGTAGGACTACGACAGCAAAAAGAAGGACAAACGACAAAAATAACTGTATTTAACGTGCGCTAACAACGCTTTTTTCCTTCCCGGGGGCCCTGGGGCCCCAGCTTGCAGCGGCGGTGCTGCCGCCTGGGACTCCGAAGGACGGGCCCACGTGGTGTCTCAAGTCCCCCTTTGCTGTTTATTAACAGCACAGTACGGTTTAAAATATAATTTTTCTTTATTTAAATTTAGTAGGGTATTCCAATAGGCTGCGATCCTCTACAAAGCCAATCGAGACTGTCGGCGGCGGTTCGGCAGCTGGGCGCCGACCGCGAGTTCCCTGTTGCATATTTCTCCCTTCCTCGAACTGCCCCATAAACATACTCAATTACAAGCCAAAACTAGAGTCAACTGAATAGAAAATGAAGCTGAATACCTCACGAACGCTACCATTGAGGCGTATCACTTCCTGTACAACTGTATTCCCTTTCATCTAAGTGAATGAAGCTTAAATCCAAGCCACCACAGCATCAGCAGTGAGCTCCGCTTTACGTCGAGCGCCGATTATAGTCCTCACAACAGGCCTGTTGCACGTACACGACGAGCCGAATACCGATCAAAGCTGATGCACATGTACGAGCATTCCCTCGACCTTGAAACACCCGCCTGTTTACAAGCGTGGAAGCTCAAATGCTACCATGAATGCATCCACAAATTCACAGCACGCTCTCGCTCGGTACCTACGCACGTCCACATGTGCAAGTGTGCACACTCGCGTTCCATGCACCGAAGCGTGAACGCAGGCATGTGCGTACACTTGCACGAGCATATGCTTGTCATCAATACATAAGAGTATATGCGTGCGTTAGCTTGGTTTCTATTTGGAAGCACACCTAGAACTGTGTGGGAGTGTAGTTTCGTACAAACAAAACAAGCATCGTTTCATATGTTAAGTATGCATGCACCCCTGCATCCAACAGTGTGCGTACATCAAGCCGTGTACAGATGCATACACGTAACATGAACGTGCACCTACCGTTGGCCTCGGTTTTGTACTCACATGCACGCATGTATAGAGGGATCCATCTCAACACACTTCCAGGTTTATTTGTTCCCGTCTGGCTTCTACGTATTCGTCATTATAAATACATTAGGCGCAAGAATATCTAGGTGTGTATTTACTTATGCATGCGTACACGCCTGTTTCTTCAGTGCCTTCACAGGCAGCGCACGCCTCCCTAAGCCACCTTGAAGTACCACCCTGTCCTTGCTGCTCTCTTGTCCTTAAATTTTCATCTTCTTTAAATGAAACAAACAAAAACTGAAGTTCATGAGTTGAAACGACCTTCCACACCAGCCGGCCTACGGAGTACCTCGGTATCTATGCAAACACCCAGGCGGATAGGCCTGAGCACCACGTTGGCCCTTCCTTTCTTTGTGTGCTACTAGCCCCACGCGTTACACCGCATGACAGCAGTACAAAAGCTGCAGTCAAGCGCCCTGCGGCTGCTGTTACAGCCGCAGCAGCCGCTGCTGCTTGTTTGCTGCTGGAAACAGCAGCAATAGAATAAACAGCAACGAACTAGAACGGGCAAAAGAAGCGAGCAAGAAGCAATAATCAACGGAAAGAGAAACAGCAATTCACCAGCTTCATCGCTGCTCGGTTCGCAACTGAGCTTCTGCAGCTGCTGTCACTGTCATTGCTGACCGTTAGTGTCAGCAGCAACGGAAGCCATCGCAGTAGCAATGCATCGCCGCCGTTTGCCGCTGCAAGTAAGAGAATATCTGAAGACCCAACAGCGAAACTGCAGACGCAGATTAACTCGCAGCTGCAGCAGCAGATCTTAATGGTTACGTTACGGGCTGCGCCTTTGCTGCAGTTGTCCTGCAAGGGCAGGCATGAAATCCGTTCCTTCCCACCGATTGCTGCTTGCTGCGATGCTGCTGTTCCCGGCGCTGCCACCGTCTCTGCAGGTGCTGCATTGCCTGAATGTGTGGTGCTTCCTGCGGCAGAGAGTTCGACTGACAGCCTGTGCTACTGCAGCAGAAGCACCATGTGCTAACTCAAAGCGGGGCACATGGGAGGAAGCTTGCTGCGGCATAGCTGCCGCTTTCTGCAGCTTGCTGAAGCTTTCTGCTGCTGTTGCTGCTGTTACCTCGAAACTGGTCTTTGCCGCGACGGCCAACAGGAATCCCGGCCGCAGTGAGGCCGCGCTACCCCATGAAGTTGCTGCCTCAACGGCAGTTGTACCAGGTTCTGCTGCAGCTGCTATTGCTAGCACTGGCTTGTCCGCTAAAACCCCGGTAGTCACTGAAGCACAACCTGCTGCTGCTTAATCGCCCGCCGGTCGTACGGCTGAAAGGCGTGCAGCAGGACTTACTGCTGCTGCTGCACCTCCTGTTGCACGGGGGGAGGCACCTGCTGCTGCGGTGGCGGATGCTCCTGTGTGTAACTGGGAACTTCCTGATTTTGTGCCGGGTAGTGAGGAGGAATCTCCTGCTGCTGCTGGGGCTGCTGCTGCTGCTGGGGATGCTGCTGCTGCGGGGGCTGCTGCTGCTGCGGGGGCTGCTGCTGCTGCTGTGGTTCATATGGAGGTACTTGTTGCTGCTGGCCAGACGGTATCTCCGTCTGCATGTAGTTAAGGGCTTGCTGCTGTGGAGGCGGATAGAAAGGCACTTGCTGCTGCTGCTGGTTAGGCGGCAACTGCTCTGGTGTGGGAGACGCCTGCTGTTGTTGCTGCTGTGCGGGCGGCGGCGGAGGCTGCGTTTGCTTTTGGGTCTGTTCCTGCTGCCCAGGTGGCACCGGCATCTGCTGCTCCTGCTGATGAGGCTCTTCCTGCTTTTGCTGCTGTCGCTTATGCTGTTGCTGCTGCGTAGTGGGCTGCCTGGGTTGGGCTGCCTTCGTCGACCCTTTTTTCTGTTCCACTCGTGGCTTTTGCGTTGAATTCTGTTGCTGCTCGTTCTGTGGCAGCTTCTTCGGCTGCTGCTGCTGCTGTTCGACGGGCTGCTGCCGCTGCTGTTCTTTGGCGGGCTGCTGCTGCTGCACGTCGTACTCGGTGGCCTCCCCAGATATCTTATCTGTACCATCTTCCTGGGCGCCTGAGGGCTCTTTTCTTGGAGGAAGTTTGTAGGTAAGTTCTTCATTGCTTTCATCATCTGAATCGTCCGCATCCTCCGTGGAGTCCGACCCCACCAAGTTGAATGCATCGCCGTAGCTGTTCTCATCGTCCTCATCTTCTGTCTCCTCAGAATCGAAAACATTCATTCCTCGAGACAGGCCGCCGTTGGCGGCGCCTTCTCCTGCTGATAGTCCTTGCCCATGCTGCTTCCCCTCGTGAGGCTGCTGCAGTTGCCCTATGAGCTCGTGCAACAGCGACATGACCCCTGGGTCCCCCGAGCCGTTGCCCGTGTGCGCTTGGCCCTCTTGCTGCTGCTGCTGCTGCTGCTCCAGCAAACCGTTTGATGGATCGTCTCCCGATTTCCACATCTCATCCTCTAGCACGTTTCCGTCTCGCCCTAGAGTAGTTGAGCGAATAACAACAACCCCACGCCCGAGCACTGGCGACGGCAGCCGTAGGCCTCCAAAGGGGCCTCCGAAACCCATCAGCATGCCGCCCCCCATGCCACCAAGCAACAAGTCCGGAAAAAGCGACTCTGACAAAGTCTCTGCTGCTGCGGCTGCTGCCGCTGCTGCCTTCTTCAGCCGCAGCTCACGAGAGGCCCACGGTTCCACCACTTCTACGCTCCATAGACGACCCAAGGTCGGCTTGCCTCTGAATGAGCAGCAGCAGAGAAATAGTTACAGCAGCAAAGCAATGCAGCAGCAATGATGCGCGGCAGCAACAAAGTGCAACAACAGCATCAGCAAGCAGTAGATGAACTGGGCCTGCAGCACCGTCTGTTGGGCCAAGATGAAGTGGCGCAGTGACACACAAAGGCACAGATACGCTTCCTACGAGAAAAGCGAGGGCAGACAAATTGAGACGATGGCTGCGGAGTGTGGCGATAGGTGTGCTTTTCCCCCTGTGTTTGTGTCTCTTTGATCAATGCCACCATGTAAAATTGACGGATGCATTCAAATCCTCACCTTCTTCCAAGATCATGAAGCGTGGCTTCAAATGCTACTTTGTCTCCTGGGCTGAGTTTGGCGACGTCGGTCGCTAGCTTGGAGTCGAAGGCGAGTCCTAAGTCCGCTCCATCTCCCTTCATACCTTCCTCTTCTCTCTCTAGAAGCTCTAACTCGGAGAAGATGCCGTGCGGCTGTTCCTTCTGCTGCTGCTTCACGTCATTGGAGTCTGAGTCACCTGAGGCGTCTGTGGAGGGCGCATCCCCCTTGCGGCCGACAGACGTCGACAGTGTAGGGTTCATGGCGAGAAACAGAAAAGACGGGGAGCCCGAAAACAAGCCCTCGCGCACTTGCTTCACCAACCCCTCCCACCGCACCGTGCGAAGAAAAAAATCCTCCTTGAAATTCGCCCCCGCATGCAGTGGGTTGCCCAGCTGCGAGCGCTGGCCGCACTTGGCGACGAAATCCACCCAAGTAAGACTCGTGGGCTCGCCTGCACCAAAGATAGCCGCAGCTAGAAAGAGGCGGCGTGGGGGTAGCGACAAGCAGCCAACTTGACAGACGCACGGACAAAGGGAAACGCTGCGGTCTTAGAGAAGACAAACAAACTCCAAGCTGGAACAGGAACAGAAGCAAGCAAGCTCCAATTAGAAACAAAAACAGGAACACTAGCAAAGGAGAACTTAGAGACGGGTTTCTCTGCACGTAAACACACAGCCAAGGATCGCTGCGCACAGAAACAACGTAAACTGCATCCACAATAAGACACAGACACACACACACACACAAAGTGATGAGCTAAGCAACAGTAAGAAGTTGAAGTACAAAGATTCAGCTGCCCAACAGCAGCATTGCAGAAAACAAATTGAGCAAAAGTGGACGGAATAGCCAAAAACAGGCAAAGACTAAAACACGCGCAAACGAGAAAGAAAGAGAAGAACGGGAACCAAATAGTTGACACAGAAACTCGTGCAAGCTTATAGGGCAGGCAGCAGTACCCTTGGCGAGCTGCTGCAGTGCACTGTCGAAGAGGCCTCCCCTGAAGAGCTGGCAAAGCACGAAGACGAAAGCCAGCCCCAGAAAACAAAACAAATAACGACGAGTCAAAACGACAGCGCAGCTGCCACAACGCATAGTCAATACACGGTCCCTGCCCTTGATTGGACAGGAGACGCGAGACCGCCGACAAATCAAATTCTGACACTGAGGGCATTCGTGCACTGCATCCTGCAGAACATACCCACAGCGCATGTGCCCTACAGTACATGTATCTCATAGTACAGAGTACATAACTAAAAACTCATGCACTCCACAAACAAACACCCAGCAGTATGTGCGTTCCTAAGCCATGCACCATGCACACACACCTACAGCACCAAACACGGCCAGCAGCACCAGACTGACTCTGGCTGCTGTACCTGCACACAGCAGCAGCACTAGCCGCTTTCAACGCAGGCTGCGTGGCTGCAGCATGTTGGTGCGAGGTGCTCTACAGGCGCCCAGAAGTACGGGCATCCTTTGCCCAATACTGGCCAGTATTCGTCTGTGCTCTTGTGTTTCTTTGCTTTCCTACTTCGTTCCGTCCCCAACAATCTGCTTCTACCTGTCTGGATCTACCTGTGAGTCGCTCGCTGCCGTCGAGTATCCCGTTGTGTCCTACTCTTTTTGTCTTTATTCAGTTATACGAGGACTTCCGTGTCCAAAACACTCACCCGCAGCGCGACCCAGAGAAACGGTCCCAGGCAAATGCCGACCCACCCTAGAAACAAAAAAGAGGCGAGGCAGGACCCCACCCCCAAGCATGACCTTTTGTATCGGACTTTCGTAGTTATTGCTTTGCTGCAGTGTGGGCATAGAGTCTGTGTTGGCGCTTCTCCATAGGCCTCTTCCTGCACAGCTGACTCGGTATGGACGCCGCTACCCATAGGGGATCCACGGACGTCTTCTGAGGCGCTGTTAGGAACCCCCATGGGGGTGCCTATAGGACCGGCCAGACCCAGCGGCCTCGGTGGGCTCACAGGCTTCATCGGATGGCCAAAGCAAACGAGGCAAAGCTGCCTTCACGGCGTGGCCTCCGCTGTTGCTACGCCCCTGTGTTGCCTGCTGCTGCTCCTGCTGCTGTTGCTGCTGCTGCTGCTGAGCCGAGTAGCAGATTCGGCTAGAGCCCCAAATGCCTGGGGAAGCACAGGATGTTAGGAGAAGGGCACGACGCAGGCTACAGAGGCACGGCGTGTGCCCTCTGGGCCGGCGACGGCCGACAACACTGCAGCAGGACGAGTAGTAGTGAAGTCTGGTAGGCTTCCCAATAGCCCTTTCGTGGTCTGAAAATAAAGTGAAGTCAACCCAAAGAAACACCTAAAGAGACAAGGAGCTTGCAGGCTGCTGTGGGTTCAAGGCGGTCGGCCAGGGGCTCTCCCATGCCGGAGCAGGCACCTTGGGGGGACTCCACGCACAGTTTAAGCTTAGGATCGTGCTTTAATTTTCCCTGTTTATCCGCTCTTGTGAAGTGTACATACTGAATCTGATTAACTCATTAAAAATGCCCTAGCTGTCAAAAGCACATTGATGCCCACGGAGTAGCAGCGTGCTCACCCCAACCGCTAAAAACTGTAAACCAAGCCCAAAGCCCTTGACCCTAAATGTGAGCATTAAATTGGAAGTCGTAAGCTTGGAAATTTACATGATATGGCCGTACCGTCAACTGTCAGCTTGTAGCTGAACCTTAGTAGCCTTAGCCCTCACTCTATTAGTAGAAAGAGTTCGTTTTGAGGTCCCCTGCCACACTTGTGTGTTGCTGCTCCTTTCCTTACTGAAAATGAAACACAACTGAGCACAGTCACTGTTTTAAGTATCATTGAAAGGTTCATTACTAAGGGAGAGGGCTGGCCTACTCATGCTGCTACTGGCCGATTGCGGGGCATTCTCCGTGTGGAAGTACGTCCCATGGAGATATTTATATCTTCATCTGTTCAGACACAATACTGCCTCCAGTCTCGTGGCAGTGGATGTTGGAACATTCGCGAAGGGTGCAGGATCTTCTCGCAGTTTTAGTAGTGCTTCTTTGACGGTTGACACCAGGGTGACGGCTTTCAGAAGTACCGTTTTAGGAAGAGAGGAAGACTGCCACACAGAGGTGTTTCTACTTTCATAATCAGTGACAGTACAACTAAATAAGAAGCAGAGTCAGGCGTGCACGCAATTGCAGGCATGAGACTAAAGTCAAAAATGCCGCAAAGAGGACTGACTGTGAGTAATGCGTCGTATTCGAGGCACGAGTAACATGCTCCCTGGCATATGGAGGGGACTAAGCAACATAACCACTTGATGGAGAGCAGTAGGCCTTTGGTTGCTTGGGTAGTGTGGCATAAGAGAAGTGAGTGAAGGGCTCACCATGCCTCCAAGAACCACCCGGAATCCTCGAGTGATAAATTTACTTGCAGTAACATGTAGTTTCATCCTGCGCGTTTCGCTACCAACTAGAGACGCTTCTTTGAAGAAATCATGTGGAGGCGCCACGTCGACCGCATGTGACCTCGCTTCCTAAAGAACATCTTGTTCCTGTATACTGCGCTCGTTTAGGTAACATTAAGTGATCCGATGGCGTCATTCTGATCTGCTGGGTACAAAGTAGTATTCACTAGCAAAGTTGTCACCTTACTTGCAGCTTTGCTGCCCGAGTTCTTTTACAAGTGAGAGAAAATAGAACACCTCGGTTCTCCGAACTGCAGATGTAAAATGCACAACAGAGCGCTGGCTCAACAGAATGAAGAGTGGAAGACGGTTGAATGCCCAGAAGAGTCTGTAATGAGTCCCGCCAAGCTTATGGCTTTCCGGAACAAAAGCTGCCGCAGAGCAGCCTTCCATGCTTTCCCAGGACTCTCGAAGAATTCGCGTTCGCCGTAGTTACATTCTATAGTGCAGATGTTGGAGAAAGGAGATGAAGGTACGTGTTTACGCCGCATCGTGTGCTAGCGGCAACCACGGACATGTCGGCACTTTGAGTTCCTGGCTTCACCAGCCCAGGAGGAAGAGATGGCGAAAGCTCAGACAGTGGCTGCGCTGAACCTCCAATAATAAGAGTGCAGGCAAGGGCAGAAATCAGAAGGATTGCAGATATAAGAGAAAGCAGAAAGCTCAGCGTGACCCGAGCATCGTTTCTCCTCCTGCAAGTTGAAACGGAGCGCGCGAAATATACGCTCGAAGACGATTCGAATCGTGAGGTCTTGTGGGCAATGTAGCACAGAGAGGCGCAATTGGCAAAGGCCTGCAAGCAACAAGGCTGCTAGTAGCCCTCCCACTGCTCTTGAAGGAGCAGCGCCAGTTGAGTTCATTTTGTCATGCGAGAAAACCTTCTAAATGCGCCCATAAGGAACCATGCTGAGAGTCTCCAGTTGAGAATTGTGGCAGTATCTCAGGCATTTTCCGAGCAGAGCAAGCAGCCAACACCAACAAGAACACTTGCGAGGCCAAGCGACAAGGACCTCGAGTTTGGCTGTTTTCCCACGATTTTTTAGTGAAAAAAGTAGTGTAGACAAGAGGTTACATAATTTTGCAGGATAACTAAGTCAACAGAAGGTAGCTGCTTATGCGCGTGGGTGAACTGACAAAGACAAAACGGACGTAAGTAAGGCTCGCAAAGGACTTTCCAGAGAAGATGAAAGGTGCTGTGCACTAATGAAGGTGATAAAGTTTCCCCTCCGCTACGGCAAACTCCACTGGCAGAGCGCTTATGCCTTATCTCCAAGCAGCTTTTGCCACACCAAACACGGTCTTGAAATCACATGCTCGTGAAGAGCATTGCTCAGCTTTGCTTAATTTTAGTAAATCACAGTAGTGAGGTACAACTGCTTTCCACCAAGCACCCTGTGTGCCTACTCGGCCCTTAAATCATAAACCTCCAAACTGGAAAACTTACCTGGGTGCCCACTTTGATAAGGCAGTAATCGTGTTAATCAAGCCACACGATGCATCAGATCGTCGCCAACCTCATGCAAAAAATTCCATTAGATGCTACCACAGAGCGTCATTTGTTGCATGTCTTTGGAGCTAAACTATTGAGATTAGCGCAAGTTACAATACAAAAAATACCAACTTTTAACGAGGGGCTTCACACTCGCACTGCTATCTGCCGCGATTTTTTTTCTTTGACAACGAGATATAGGTCGACGAAGAGGCTTAGAAAGTTGCCACTTCGCACGCAAGCAGGATTGATCTGCCGACCTCTGCGCGCCCTTCCCGTCGTGGACCGGTATCAGCTGGCCAAGCGTCACCTGAGCATCAGAAGACGAGGTCTTTTGCATTAGGCCTGCGGAAGGCACCCTCTGGATGCAGCTTCTTCTACCGAGCTAAGCGATTTCTCTGTATGGCCAGTGGCCGTGTGCAGCACGACTCCATACACAGACAACTAAACTCGAAGCGCGCAACAATGTTTTTGTGCTCAAACAAAGCCACATGAGCCCTGTACAAGCATGCAGAGGCACATAACAAGGGGCCTCGCCGTGTACCGTGTGTTTTAGACCTTTAATAGGGAAAGCATGTTCCCTGGCACAGATTATACGAATGATCCTTACTCAAGATATAATCAGTAGCGAAGGGCCGATGAGTTGCACATAAGCCTTCGTCAGTGACCTCCGCAAAAAGCGGCGCAAAATAGCTAACGCTGTTGTTGATGGATTCAGGCCGGAAAGCGTAATCCGCAGCATTCCCTAGTTGGCCTCGGTCGCATCACTGGTGATAAGCCCGAAGAGGAAGCGTGATGCAGTTAACTAAATAGGCTGTATGGACCTGTATGCACGTCGTGCTGGAGGAGCCGGCAGAGCAACAAGCCGCCCCAATGGCTTTCAGTGAATTTTTTGAACTGTGTATCTAAATGACTTTGTCGTCTTCAGCAACATTTTTGAAATTAGGTTGGGACGCTGCGGCATTTTTTAATTCGTCTTGGCTAATTTATTCAGTCGTACCCCAGCTAGCACTTCTTTTGCTGCTTGTCGAGGCGTCTCGTGCGTGGTGCCCCAAGATGCCCCACTCGCGGCAATAGTGTTTTGACTTGCCAAAGAGTGCAGTGCTTCGACAAGTTGCCCCTTCTTACACGACAGAACGCTGCAGGCTCTTTTAATGATTGCAAGTGTCATACTGCGTGCTGTTTTCAGTAAATAGCTACCCCCCCTCTGAGCTCGCGAAAGACGAATCGCGGTAAAGTTTCAAAGTGCACGTGGAGAAATGCTTGTAGCGAGCTTTAGCAGCCCAAGAGTTGTGGCCGGTTTAGAAAGGCCGAGATCTCAGGCAAGGCTTACAGCGCTGGGAAACTTGACGGGTTCGCCTTGTTTCAGGATGTCAATACCAGCTGAGAGCGTCCAGAATGCAACACCCACATTATTGTACTTGTATTCTTATGAGTCCTTCTTGGGGTCCCGCTGCGCATATCTAACCTAACTACCATGCACTCACACCACCACGCTGGAAATTGAAGCCCTTTTTGCGGCAGGCAGTGCAGTTTTTTGGCCACCGATCTTTTGTAGCCTGTGGAGATCGTTGGAGCTTCTGGGTTTCACCAAAGACACCACTTTCGATGCCTACCCCTTGCTCACCGTCCCTGAGACTCGGCTTGCCTCACCTATGAAGATGCGCTACCTAGCTAATTGACCGCTTGTCACTGTTTTACAGATTCGCAGCGCTTCAGCTGTAGAGGGGCTTCTTTTTAAAGCTTGTGAGGAACCCTCAGCAAGAGCACTTAATTCTAGCCAGAAATCCCCATCATAGATTGATCTCGAACTGGGCTGGTACGCCCTTTTCGTGCAGCTTTCTGAGAAGAATGGCGCCTCTAAGCTCTCTTGACGCGGCTTTCTCAGAGAAATGGCGCTTTCCTAGGCACACTCGCTGGAACGGAGGTCAATGATCGTGCAGTAGAACAGGGTCTTGTTTGCAAGTGGCCAGATAAACGTTTCACACCCTTATGAGCTGCGGGGATTGCCAAGTATTGCAACGGAGCAAAACATACAGAAGAAGAAAAGCACTCAGCAAAAGAAAC